GAGGAACCTCCATAGGAGTAGAGGTAACGTAACTTAGAACACTCTCAGTTTGGTTTCTCGTTTCTCGTTGAACACCCTCGTTCGAACGTAGTTTGGAGAGGTGGTGAACCGAGTAACGGTTGTTCTGGTGTTGTTCTGGTTAGAGGTCAAAGGTGCATCGATCAAATCAACATCGCCGACACCGGTGGTGGATATTTGACGGTCGTCTTGATTTCTGTGTAATCGATCAAATCGATATTTGACGATTTTGCTGATTTTGTTTTTGTGTTTACTTAAATACAGTGTGCATTGAACACGCGAGTTTCGCCAACGAAACAAAAATAAAATAAAAACGCACATGACATGTAATGATTTTGGATGAAGCCCTTGTAATCCATGCGGGAACGTTGAACAAGAAAAGAGGATAAGGTTATGATCATTGATCAGGCACGTGATTCTGTATATGATCAATATAATTAAAAATGTAGTACCATAAATATAATGCACTTTTTATGATTAAATGAAAAATTGCATTAAGCATGGCACTAGAGGAACTCTAGCATATCTATATATGTTTTTTCGGCGCTTGCAGAAATTAAAGCTTCTAGATACAATTAATTAACACGACCCAACGGAGCGGTTCAAGAAAAAGTTAATGACACGGAGATTTGTAACGTTATTCTGTCTTTACTTATCGAGAGAGATCTTTTATTTTGCGAATAAGAACTTATCTAGTGGTACTATTCTTAATTTTAAACTTAAACATTTGGTATTTAAAATATTTTAAATAGCATCTAACTATAAAATTAAATCAATATCACATTTATAAAACAAATCTTTCCTTCAGATGTCTGCAGAATTGCACGCAGAATTCGGCACTTGAAAGCTCAGTACCCCTGATGAGTAGGAATGGCAATGAGGCAGGTCCAGAGTGGGTTTCTTGGTACCCAGACCTGCTTTGTGGCAGGTAGGGTCCAAGTCGGGTAATATAATTTATCACGGATCCAAGTCGGGTAATTTATCACGGGTCGCAGGTCGGGACAGGTCGACCCAATGATTATGCAATTTATATGAAAAACATTAGAAATATTTGTTATTTTTATTATAAGACCAAGAAAACAAACAATATTATGATAAATGTAGTTAAATTATTAGAGAAATTGAGGTTTTCACTAATTTACAACTTTAGTATAGCTAAATTATGATGTAATAAAAGAAAAATTCTAAGTAATTTGACTAAGATTACATGTTATTTAGACAAGAACGGGTCGAGAATTGTGCGAGACAAGACATGTCGGGTCGATGAGAATACCTATACCTGTTCCGCTCCGCATCAAAACAAGGCAAACAGATCTGATAAAAAGGTCAGATCGAAATTGCCATCTCGATGAGAGACGGCCCCAATTCATCTGTGGGTTCCGATGCATATCGTAGGAATTAAAATAAATAAACAGGAATCGATATTATCATCGGATCTTGATTCACACCCTCATTCGAAGCACGCCCCTTATGGCGGAAAAAATCCCACTGTACACACGTTATTAAAAAAAATTCCCAAAATACATAAGTTATAAAAAAAATTCCAAAAGTACACATGTTTGGGCATCACCGTGTTTGACAAAAGCGGTGAAGTTTATCACCGCGTTTGTCAAAGACGGTGAATACTTCACCGTTTAAGACCAAAACGGTGATGCCTTCACCGCGTTTAATAAAAACGGTGAAGGCTTCACAGAGTTCTTGAAAATTGAATCGGGAACCAATGTTCAGCATAATGGATTCGCCGTCCTCATAATCAATGCCTATGTTAGAGTTTGTCACCCTTCCATTCCACCGAATATTAAGATGAAACTTCTTGAATTTACCCATATCTACAAATCGAGGATAAGTATATATTAGCTTAAAGACAGTAAAATTAACCAAACTAACAACAACATAATACGAAAATTAAATCATACTATATTGTCCATCTCATAACTAACGAAAATAAATTCAACTCAACTAACTAACAACAACATAATACGAAAATTAAATCATACTATAACTAACGAACATAAATTCAACTAACTAACAACAACATAATAGGAAAATTTAATCATACTATAACTACTAAAAACATAATTAGACAATAATACGAAAAGTCTCAACATACCGAAAAATGTCTGTTCTGTGTATTATGCTCGATTTTTGTTGCTGAAATTTGAAGAAGGGGGGAGTGGTAAGTTTTTGCTTCTGCTGGTGGGTGGGTATTTATAGGAAAATTTGCTACTATTCACCGTTTTTGTCAAACACGGTGAACACCATCACCGCGTTTGTCTCAAACGGTGAATAATAGGTAGGTGTGACCTAATTTTGACCTACCAGGGGTGGGAAACGTGGGAATATATCACCGCTTTAACCTAAAACGGTGAAGGTAATCACCGTTGTCAACGTAAACGGTGATGTATTCACCGTTTCCAACAAACGCGGTGAATATATCACCGTTTTAGGTTAAAGCGGTGAATACGTCACCGTTTTGTTCTTAAACGGTGAAGTATTCACCGTCTTTGACAAACGCGGTGATAAACTTCACCGCTTTTGTCAAACACGGTGATGCCCAAACATGTGTACTTTTGGAATTTTTTTTATAACTTATGTATTTTGGGAATTTTTTTTAAAAACTAGTGTACTTTGGGATTTTTTCCCCTTATGGCCCCTAGGCTAAAGTCCGGCCGGCCCGTTGCTTCAGGGATTAATTTAGAGCGTGTGACTGAAATAATCTTTCGGGTTAGTAATTTTAAAGATTTGGTACCCTAGATTAAGATAAACAACCAATTAATTAATTGGGTAGTGAGCTGTCCTGCCACATTATCTTATATCTATACATCTAAAATTGGTGGGTAGGGTTATGTACACGTGCATAACTTAGCGAATACATGTACCCTATCATGTGTTCGACCATAATGCACTATGATATATTCATACTGCAAGGCAGCACTTCTACACCACCATGACAATTATGATTAGGGTTAATAGCATTTTATACCTCTCTACTATTGTCAATAAACAAACGCTCTCCTCTACCATATTTTTACACAATCATACCCTTCACCTATCAAAACGTAACAATAATACCCTTCCATCAAGTAATTGCTAAAGTGGAAACGCAATGACTAGTTTACCCCTCTCCATTATATATTTTTTTTTTGTAAACAAAATTATTTATTGTCTCTTAATTATCCATTACCCTTAACAAACTATACGAGACGTCTTACCAAAAAAAAAAAAAAGTGAGACGAGATTTCCATGCTCAAAATAGGGTAACTAAATTTGGACTTTTCATTCAGAAAATCCATATATAAGGGTGGAGAATTAAAAACATTTTTATTTTTTCCTTGTTTTCTTAATCGGCTCATATCTTCTTCGTTTTAACTCAGATTTCAATTTTTTTTTGCACAGATGGAACGAGTTCGTTGTGCTCTACAAAATGAGATCCATTTTCAATATTTTTTTGAAATTTTTTTCGTGCCTCTCGGTACCAACTTCATACCATATGGTATCTTCTTCCTAAATTTTTTTTTGATGAATGGTATGTTTGTGCAAAAAAATTATAGAGAGGTACATTTGTTAATTGACAATACTAGAGGGGCATAAAATGCTATTAACCCTATTGATTAGGAGTTAAACCATTTATACCGGTTGGGCGGCTAGGTCATATAGTCGAATATTATTAAATTTTTATTAGGATTTTCAGTTCATTTCCTAAAAATATGTATGTGAATTTTCCTGTTAGAATTAATCAAAGAAATATTAAGAAAAATATCTCTCCTAATACTGTTCTCCTAAACCCTTTAAATTAAGACTCTTCTCTCCCTAAAAGCGTCGGCCTGTTCTTCACTAATTATGCCGATTTTTTCTTCTAAATCGCTAATTCCTAGTTATGTTCATTCATAATTCCCTTATCAATCAGTAATTATATTTCATGATATGATAGTAGTTTACAAATTAAACATTAGTTTGTGCGATATGAATATTAGTCCGAGAGATATTAATACTAGTTCACTTTGTGTTGCAGATCTTCTTCCTGACATTTGTAGATATGACCTAGCGTACAACAGCTGACGTGGCAAGCATACATGAAATGGAAAATTACCTTTCAACACCTGCCGTTAGCTCTAGGGACAGAAATGGTGATGCTGCAATTTTTATTAGTCTTAACTGGTTTGCTTACAACAAAACTTATATAGTTAGATGATAGCTGTGCAATAAATGGTAAACTTAAGTGACAACCGGTGCAGTTAACCTGTGAGGGTTATGCATAGTTACTGATGGACAAGTTATTGGTGGAGTTCTTTTCCCTATTTTTATATGCATGTAGATAGTGATATATAAGAGAGCTCATCACCCAATTGAATGTCATTTTAGTATCCAAACTTTTTAAATTTTACATATTATTCCAATATTTAGATGTCACTTTAGATTTATCATCCAATCCACCAAATATTTAAGCTTACTAACCCGAGAGATTATTGTGGATTTTTGTTCCCCACTCTAAATTAATACCGGAATCGAGGGGTCATAAGTGGCGTGCTTTCAACTTCAAGTAAGGGTGTAGATCAAGATCCGATAATAATAATAATATATGGAATCCCTTTTGATTATACAAATTAATAAAGCTACTCCACAAGTAGCACGACTTGGGTTAATAGATATATAGGAAATGGATCTAATCGATGGAGTTTTTGTTGAACATTAACATAACCTCAACCACAGCTCAGCTTCAAGGGCGGTTGGCCCGCTCAAGAAAAACTGTACGTTTTTGTTGTTGTTGTTGTTGTTGTTGTTATACAATTAAAAATTGCAAAAAGGATTAGATCGGAGGGGGGCGCACCGGTCAGTTTGTTGCTATAAATACAAGTCATTCTAAGGGTTCCAAAAATCACACCGACCGCTAATTAGTAATTATCTATCTTTGGCGACAGAGTGAGATCAAAGAAAAGAGAGAGAAAATGTCCCGTCTCGTGTTGGACTCCAACAACCTGTGGATGATCGGCTGGACCGACAACACGGTCCAGGTGTTCGAGGGCCCGTACCCGTCAGACCTCAACACCCAGGACGTGGCCAACAACGTCGTGAAATGGAAGTCGGCGGGTCGAATCGGGACCACCCGGGAGTCGACCCACCAGGAGCTCGAACTGTTCGGGGTGGTGCTCGGCGGCTCGAAAGTGGCCGAGCTGAGCAAGAACCTGATCGACCACCAGACCATACCCAACAGGGAAGGGTTCATGCTCATGCACATCAACATCGGCGGCGGCGACGTGTACCTCCGGGAGGGGAGGAGCCTGATGCGCCGCCTCAACGACCTCTTCGACTGGTCCAAGTACGGGGTCCAGGTCCCGACCCCGGTCCAGACCGAGTGGGACCGGTTCCAGGTCACCACGGGCCGGCTCATGGTGGAGGGCCGGGGTGTGGCCCAGGCGAAGAAAGATCTGGAGGAGAAGGAGAAGGAGAACGAGAGGCTTCGAAATGAGAACGAGGAGTTGAAGAAGCAGGCTGAGAAGAACAGAGATGAGCTTGCCGCTAAAGATAAGCAGATCGCTAGCCTCAAGAATGCTCTTCAGGCCTTACTCTAGAAACTAATTAATTAAAGCATATATATATATGTTTGTTGGCTTGTTACCTTTACATTTTCTGTTGTTTTTGCCCGTTCCGTCGCGTGGATGATGCATCCGGTTATGTATGGTATCTCTAATTCTCTGTGTACCCATGCTTCATGCATGCTATTGTTGCCAATTGATCAATAAATTGCTGTTTTGCTAAATAACCAACTCAAAAGTGGGGATGGCTAACTGTCTTTTTACTTGTGTTGTCAAATGGTCGGTTGAACCAGGTTCGATTGAAACCAAACATGAAACCGTTCAAAACCATAAAAAATCACGGAAAAAATAAAACCGTCAAACTCAACAAAAATAGTGGTCTTACCAAAGCGACTGGTTTCAACCTCTTAATCAGAATGCTGCTTTTTGGTCCTTGCCCGAATTCTATTTGGGAAAACGAACCAAATATGCTCAAATTTTTCGATTCATATAATATATAAAATTTTAAATTATTGTAGGTACCTATCAAATTAAATTTAGGTTATTAAAATATTAGATTATTTCCATACGTATAATATATATATTTATATATAAACGGCTTAAATCGACAAACATGTACTGATCCGACCAATGAACTTCAAATTGTTTACTTCACTTGTTTAACGATTTAAACTGTTTTAACAAGCTTGCTTTTCAACCATCAAATGAAATAGCTATCCAATAGTTAGAATTAAACAAAAGTCGATCTGATAAAATACTATGCCTACTAACACCAACCCTAGTTTATATTTCACCTCTCTCTCTCAGAAACTGCGACTGAGGACTGATATATATCTCATATCTGCACTCTCTATGGCCACCCCCTGCCTTTCGATCCGAGTTTAAACTTTTCTCTCAACTTATTATGTAACACCCAAAGGTTTTTTCTCCATTTAAAACCTATAAAAATGTATGCACATCGTCAACTATTTACCAAAATCCTCAAACTCTTGGTTCATATTATTTTTTTTTTCCTGGGAAAAACCCATCTTCAAATTTCCCGTAGAAAACATTGTGGAGAGTTCAGCCTTCCGCCCACCTCATCGATGTCAATCTCGAACTTGCTTCGTCCCATGGCCTTCGCCCATTTTAGATATTCATCTGGGAAAAATATTGACGGGAGTGAGACGTCACTCAATGAGTAAATAATAAGCTAATATAAATATTATTACGAAAATGATATCAGGCTATGTTGTGACTCGGAGTGTCTTCCGTCCATTATACTCGATGTATATCTAATCACTTAATAACTTTACTTAGGTCGCACCTATGTAGATTCATACGACATTTCTTCCCTCGTTCACTCGATCTATCACATATATGTTATGGGTCATTCCTATATGTCATATATCTTCGTTTAAGGTTTCTCCTTTACTTTACCCTACCTGGTGTTGCATATGATTTGTATTTATTCTTATATCCCATACAAAATTTTCCTTCATATTTTACACTTCTATCAACACGTACAACATCAAGGGATGTATTGTAGACTCATAACATTATACACGTCGATATCTCATGGCACTACCATAATGAAATTAGTATATCATTACTACTTATGTCACAGTTTCCTGATCAACCGTTGTACTACTCATCATAGGAGATCATCATAACATGTACCTCATATCACTTGATATGACATATAAACACATCAACCTTCACATACCCCACGTAAGGGTTCACATTCTATACCTCCAATATGGCAAATACTAATATTGTCATCTCAATCATATATCACACAAAGATGACAAATATCAAGCTTGGCATTCAAATACTTATGTTACATCCAAAATCAACAATGAATCAGCATCCAATCATACAAATATATATAGTTAGCTGGATTCAGTAGCTTTTATTCTTTAATTTGCCAAGTCATGCACTCCCCGGGATCTCGTGAACTCGTAATCTCGTAGGCACAAAGTGCTAGATCTCATATACTTGCGAACTCGTGGGCACAGAGTGCCATATCTCATAAACTCGTAAACTCGTGGGGCACAGAGTGTCATATCTCATAAACTCGTAGCCATGCCTGACATTACTCCCTAAAAGGATTTCTCGTATAGCTCTTTTATCTCTTAGGCTTGAAGCCTCTTTTCACTTATAATGAGTGCATGACAGGGCGCCATTACGTTTGCTTTAGGTGACCATGCAAAGTCTTATAGTTAGTCACAACTCAATATATCACTTGTGTGCCGCAAGGGCCATTTCATATCACGTTCACTTGTATGGCTCACATGACATTCTATCTCATTTCGTACCATTCACAATAGGCAACCTTTCTCGCCATTCTTTTCACTTGACTTCCTTGAATACCATTTCACATTTCATATACTCATCACATAATACCATTTCGCACCCACATAACCTGTATTATGACCTTCTGGCCATATCATCATACAATCATGTCATCATATCATCACATTATCATATAATTACCACGATACGGTAACCTCATCAAATCATAGTATCATTCAATCATTTCATCTCATTCAATCATATAACCACGCCACATTTGACATTCAATCACAATTGGTTTAACTCTTACCAAGCCATCATACACGTTGTACTCGGGCCGCTTCATGACCCGAATACCATAATCGTGTTAAGATAAATATTAGGTTAGAATTTACTCACAAAATGATTGTTTTTCATCTATACTCTTTCCTCGTGAGGATTCTGCAGCTTGCTCTTTTCCTTTATCAAGTTAGATAGATAACTTAATACGCTTTAAAGGTGAATATAAAGCTTACTTATAGTCCACTACTCAAAATCACCCACTTAATAGCAAACATATAAACTCCCATCACAAAGAATAAAGCCCACATATTCCTAACGTGTTTGCATCCCCCCCATTCCATTCAATTATTTAAGAAACCAATATACTTAGAGGCCCCATTTTGAAAATCATATATTCCTTTAGAAACCACTGCTAATGCATGTGATATGGCAACCACTTAGCTAATCCACATCCAATTTATTTGCTCCAATGCACTTCCACCACTTTTCTAACTCATGCTACTTAAATTGCTTTATCTATAATTTCCAAGATGGCTCTAGTATGCCCAGCTATGCATACTGATAATTATACCCCATTTCACATGCATGCACTATCTTGTTATGTTAAACAGAGAAATGAAGACTTTCCCCCAACAACTAACACGGTACTTAATTATCAATCAAAGAAATAGCTTTCCTGTTCATCATCCATGCATGTAGCTACTGTTTCTTCTTTTCCCCAATAAACCACTTCATCAACCAAAGTTAAGAGAGGATACCTTGAGTCCTTTAATTTGCTACTTGATTAGCTCCTCTTCTTCCTCTCTCTCTCTCTATTCGGTTTTCAGGGGACTCCAAAATGCATTTCTTCGACCCCTATCTCCCCAACCCCTACCTAGTAAGGATTTGGGGACTACGTGGTGTTAGTTTAGCCTAGGAAGATATATGGTACACGTGTATGGCTTAAAGGGAATTAGACTAAAGTTGACTCTTACTCTCCCCTTATCTTTCCCCAACTACAGAACCATTCATCCACATTTATTTCATTCATGTGGGTTTAAGGAGCAGGCTATATACGTGTATGCTTGGGATACCATATGGGAAATGGAGCAGTTAACACATGCAAATATGAGGTGGAGCTTGGGAAAAGTGCTTCCCTGATACCGCCAGCTACATTTCAACAAAACCATTGCATGTAGGGTTATAAAGTAAAGGCAACAGAGGCTTAATTCCCTCCAATTCGTTCATTAGAAGACTAATAAAGTTTCCCATTTTGCATAAGCAATAATTGAGTTCATTTTACCCACTTCTCCCCCGAAAGGAGCTAATGATTGAAATATTCTTATGAAATGAAATCATCACTTACATGGATTACCATCATCAGTTTAGCTTGTACCCTTTCCTTGGATAAAGAAAACTTAGTTTAAGGCACTTAGGGTATGCTAGACCGATTTTTTTAACATTTAGGGGTATTCTCGTAATCAGCATTGTGAGCTAGTGAATAGCATATGACCCATATTTCAATACACAAACGTGAGACATACACATACAACCACTTGAGAGGAATAGGATGTGACATATTACCATCCAAAGAAGACTGCAATATTGGTTAGTCACCAATCTTTCATCCAACGTATGTAGTATGTACTTAAGTGCGAGGGTCAGTTGGTAATGCCAACCCAATATTTGGATCCCTTAATGCATGGTGCACCTAAACTCAAGTCCTAATAAAATAAAATAATATTTTACCGGAAATGGGCCTAAGTTCAGGTCCTTAACACATCTTTTTTAAGGAGGAACTTATACCCTTGTGATTGGCTAACTCAAGATTAGGTAGTTAGTAGTGAGTTATTAGTTAAATAGTTGTTAGTGGTATTAAGAAGAATACAATTAAACTAAACATGCGTCTCTTTCTTTTCAAAAATCCTAACCCACGTCTCTCTTGCTTTTCGTCTGTTTATTATTTCTCCCGCAAGCAGACGAAACGTCCGTTGTCCCGAGTTCTCTGACCGTCGTCCCAAGTTCTCTGTCCGTCGTCCGGTCATCCCTTCTCCTTCCCGAGTCCATCCAGTGGTCCCGAGTTCTCCGTCCTGAGTTCTCCGTCGTCCGGTCGACCCTTCTCCGGCCGACGATTCAAGTCCACCAACGCAAAGTACAACAGCCGTTGTTGACGTCGGTCCCGCTATTCTCCGTCCCGAGTTCTCCCTCCCGCTGAGATTTCCGACAAAGCACAGCAGCTGGTCGTCGTCGCTGCCAAAGTCCCATTCCCGTCTTCGTGCCAGTCCACAATCGCCGATTCCATCGCTGTCTTCGTGCATGTCCGTGATCTCGTTTCATCGCCGATTCTATCATTTTTGTTGACGGTTTTATTAACATTGTATCTTATCATTAGTAATCGAAACTAAAACAAGCTAAGAACGACCATAGATTATCAAGTTATTAGAACACGATTATTAACTTTTTCTCCCAATTCATTAATATTTTAAAACCTATTATCAATA